AACAGCGTCGGCTATTCAGTCTGATAGCACTGCTTTTCTGATATAGACAAAAAGAAGGATATCGCACAAAACCCAAGCCCTTTCTAATCCTACAGCGATGAAAAAAATTGAAGGTGTTCCAAATTCGAAAAAGCAATCTCTAGATAAGATACCTGAGATCTATCAATAAAAATACCACAATATATAGATCTTCCAAACACCGTACAATTTTTCAAGCCACACTGTCTCAATCAGAGTGAGCGCGACTCCAGTGGCGCTAGAGCGCGGCCGCCTCGCCTGAACTGTGCGCCGCGTTCGCGCATGTGTTGTCTGATCAATTACCATGTCTCAGCTTGGAAAAGGGCTTAGAGGAGAGCTGTGATAGTGAATACTTCGAAAAAATTCAAGAAAGCTTCGCAAGTGCGGCGCATGTTCCAGCGAAGGAGCCGCGCGAGTCGGGCGAGTTCATATAAGGCAGAAATCGAATGATATAAATAAAAGCTAATCTAAGAAATAAAATCGAATTGAAATAGCGCACAGAAATGGATTGAACATACCTCCAGATAATTCTTGCAGAGAATCCTTCCATTTCCCGTTAAACGCTACTTTCACCTCTAATCCGTCCTCCACCGTTTTTCCAGGAGGGGGTTCGACTTTTGCGGTGGCACCAGGTAACAGTGTAGAAAAGATGTTCCCGAAATCCTGAAGAAACAGCCTAACATTCAGAACTGGTTGCCATTTTTTCAAAACTGCAAATTTTTTTCAAAACTGCATACCCTGTTCACTTGTTCATGAGCTTTGTGTATCTCTCGTGTTTTCTTCTTATCGAGAAGAGCTATAGTGTCTAGCAGCTTCTGACGATCGATAGCGATTTGCTTTTTCTTTTGTTGTAGACCCATAACCTATGATCGACAGTATTAGACTTTCAATGGGACGACATCAGTCATAAGACACACCTGCTCTTCCACTTGTGAGAGCACATTCATCGCTCTTGTGTTCAGATTCTTTCCAAGTTCATTTTTACGAGCTTTCATATCTGCGATATCCTTGCTTGCTTTCTCTTGGGTATATCTGAAATGATTAACAGCTTAGATGATAAATGATCACGCTCATCATTTTTATACTCTCGTAGAAGCGATATACAGGTTGTCCCAATGTGAGTGACAAAGCACCAACGCCTCCACGCGGCCGCCTCGCTCGACTTTGCGTCGCGTTTGCAAACTTATCCTTTCCACATTTTCCCACGCTCATTCAATTTCTGGCTCAGGTGGGAAACCTCAAGATAATCCGCAGATGCGACGAAAGACCTGAGCGAGGCGACCGCGACAATCCGAGCTGCGGAAGCTTAGACACTCACTTTGGAAGAGCCTGTATGACGACGCTAAAGGGC